TCCATTCCTGGGGGCTCCACTCTCATGACCTTGTCACCTCCCAGAGGCCCCCCCCCTTATACCATCACAGTGGGGATTAGGTCTCAACATATGAATTTGGGGGGTGGGTACACATTCGTCCTATAGCAGGGGTTGTTTGTTACACAGCAGTATCACAGCAAAAAGAACGCTGACTCATACGCTATCTCTAAGCGCTCCCTCCAAGAGTATCTTAGAAGTTCAAAGTGCTCCGAGGTGTGCCTGGCACACAGCTAGCTGTATGAGTGCTAAATAGTAAGCACCTTGGGGCGCCTGGGTGGCTCAGTTGGTTAAACAGCCAACTCTTGATTTTGGCTCAAGTCACGGACTCATATTTGACGGGATTGAGCCCCACGTCAGGCTCTGCGGTGTCGCAGAGCCTGCTCGGGATTCTCTGTCTCCCTCTCTCTGGCCCTCCCCCACTCTTTCTCTCTCTCTCAAAATAAATAAATAAAAAACATTAAAAAATAAAAAAACTTGAGCGCCTGTTGTGAGCTCTGGGAACAGGCTGGTGTATGAGACTGTGTCACTACCTTCTGGAATTTTCTTTATTTTTTAAAAATGTTTATTTATTTATTTTTGAGAGAGAGAGGGAGAGAGAGGGAGCTCGAGCACAAGCAGGGGAGGGGCACAGAGAGACAGAGAGCGAGAATCCCAAGCAGACTCTGCACTGTCCGTGCAGAGCCTGATGCGAGGCTCCATCTCATGAACCGTGAGATCATGACCGGGGCCAAAATCAAGAGTTGGATGTTTCACCCACTAAGCCACCCAGGCGCCCCATGGAATTTTATTTTCTAAGGGTCATGTGTCAGGGCGCTGCAGGGTTGGCTGTGGGTACGATCAGCCCCAGCTGGTGGACGGGGGTGCCCGATCACCTGAGAACTTGCACGTCAGTGATTATGACACAGGGAAAGGGCGTCTCTCTCATAGGAGACGGGTGGGACAGACAGGGTGCTGTGGAGCTGGGGCCAGAAACGACTCCCAGCCGGCAAGGCCCGTCGTAGAGGAGCACCAGACTGCACAGGGCTGGGACCCAGGGACAGGCAGTGCATGAACGCGGTGACAGATTATGCTTTCCCAAAACGGCCCCCATCTCCCATCCCTATGCTCTTCCTGCAATGTGCCTTTGACCTTGTTCCTTCCATCGGATTCGGGGGCCGGGTGGGGTCCACGGAAGAGGCTCCGATGGCCCGAGCTGCATCTCAGTGCACAGAGGGCCACGTGGGCGGGAAGCAGGGCCAGGGAAGGCCATCCCTGGGACCCAAGGCAAAGTGGACGTGCGGGCCCTCGTTCAGCATCCAGGTCAACGCCTGGGTGGCTCAGTCGGTTGACCGTCCGTCCGACTCCGGCTCAGGTCATGATCTCAACGTTCGTGAGTCTGAGCCCCACGTCGGGCTCTGCTCTGACAGCACTGAGCCTGCTTGGGATCCTCTGTTCCCCCCACCCTCTCTCTCAGCAATAAACAAACACTAAGGCAACCAAAAAAGAATTGCAAGGCCGCAGGGCCTTAAAGCAAGCGCGGGCCCTCCTGAGCGCAGCACCGTTGGACTGTGCAGGCTGCACAGCCACTGAGCAGGCCTTGACTGTGGGCCCACCCTACCCACCGGGGGCCCTCAGCCTTCCAGCGCACCCGGGGTCCTCTGCAAGCCTTGCCTCTGCCAGGGGCCGGGCCAGAAGTGCCGGGTGGTTCTGGAGGGCCCGGCCAGGGCCAAATGGAAGGAGGAGGACACAGACCCCCTTCCTCACCCCTCCGGCGGGGACAGCGCTGAACGGGGCCCAACACTGCCTCCCCAGAGACCCCAGGGGTGACCGGCTCCAGGACCCCCTTGCCGGCTCCTTCCCTTCCCTGCCTCCCTCCTCGTGCAGTACAGAAGGAACCTCCCGGAGAGGTCTGGCCTTTGCCCTGGGCTCCTGGGAGGTGACCTCTAGGCTCTTGGAATGTCCTGCCGATAAGAGTGTGTCTTTGTTTACCTGGAGCCTTGGGCCGTGAGGAGCAGTCTAACAGTATGATTTACGGTAAGCCTGAGTCACTCCCTACCGGCCTGACCTCCAGAGGGGCTGGAGACTGAGGTCACCACGTGGGCGGCCAGCCAAGTCTACGTGGCCAACCCCCTCCCCCGGTGTAAACCACAGACACCGAGGCTCAGGGTGCTCCGGGGGCTGGCGGGACCCAAGCGTGCGTCATCGTGGTTGCTGGGAGAATCAAAAGCTGTCCACGAGACCTTCCTGTGCTCTCTTCTGGGCCCCACCCTCGTCGGCTCTGCCCTTTGCGGATGGTAATCTGCATTCTTTCACTGTAAGAAACCATAAACACGCCCGTGGTGGCGTTTCTGAGTTCTGCGAGTCCCTCTGGTGAATCACCGAACCCCCGAGTGGTCTCGGAGTCCCCTGCATGGTACCTCCCACCCCCCTCCCTCCCTGTGTGCTCCCGGATCACCTTGCAAATACACTCTTTTCTCACAAAGCCTCGGCTCAGACGTGGCGCCTTCAGGAGCCCGGCGAGCACAGCAGGCAAACCTGAACCAACAGAAGCCACGCGGTGTCGGGCAGAAGCCAAACACAGGTGTCACCACCAGAACGGGGCAGGACGGGGACACTAACAACTTAACGTCCTTGAGAAAAACGAAACCCGAAACCACTGCCTCCCATCCTAGACGTGCATTATTACCAGGATCCCACAGCTGGCAAGGACAGAGCTGGGCACGTGACTTCGGGGCAGTGAGCAGGTGGAGGGCCCGAGACCATCCTGAGGCCCCTGCGGCCCGCCCCGCCCCGCCCCTCCGCGTGGAGGGATCCTCGGAACCTCTGCACCCGCGTGTGCTTGGTCTCCTCTCCAGCCCAAGCAGCCGGGCTCGCCGATCGTTACAGATGGCCTTTATTTATAATGCAAAAAAGAAATCATAAGCCACTTTTTGGGCTGTTTCGGTAGCTGTAAAACCACATGTACAAAACAGTCACTCCTCTGCAAGGAGTTCTTGAGTGTGTGTGGACCTCCCGCGTGCCCGTCTGCGTGGCCCGGGGCGCGGGGAGGGTGAGCGCGTCCTGACGGCCGTCGCCACGGCTCCGGGGGCAGCACGAATGCATGGGCAGTAGAGGTCCGGTCCGCTCAGTGGGGCCTGGGAAACACGGTTCCGGACGCAAGCAGGGCTCCTTCCTTGCTCGTCCTGCGACCTGCGGGGCACCAGGAGCCTTTGTTTTCCCGTCCAGGGGACGCAGCGCATCTGTCCCAGGCAGCCTCGCCCCCAGGGACTTGTGGAGCCGGGGCCGGCTGGAGCAGGAGCCGGGGAGGACGCTCTCTGACCCGTGCCCCTTCCTCAGGCTTCGGGGTCTATGTCTCCGTCCTCTGGGCACGGCCCTGCCTCGTCCAGCCAGACTAGGAGAAAGAGAAGGAATCAGCGTCTGGACAGCCACCCACCGCACGCAGAGCTCCAGGCCCAGTATCTCTGGGCTCCCCCCACACAGTGGCAGTGGCGGTCAGGATGCCGACGGGGGGCCCCGGTGACACTGGGTCTTGTGGGCCTTCCCCACGCACACTCCACCCACACCCAACGCAGAGCTCGCCCTGGGCCCTGGCTGAGGTCCCTGGCATTGTACCCTGGGCCCCACCCCCGACTTAGCATCTTTCCGGAGGGGCCTTCAAGCCCAGGGCTGGGCGGGGAGGTCCACACCTCCACACCGCTGTCCTAGAGAGGGAAGTTGAGGCCCAGAGAGGGGGAGAGCTGCTTCGGGTCAGCCTGTGGAAGCCCCGGGATCTAATCATCACTCAGCCAGCAGCCCTAGAGGAAGTGTTACCCAGGTCTGGTGGTCTCCTCCAGCCCTAAGTGTCACTGGGGAGGGAATATCAACAACACGGCCACTGTGCAAGGCGTGAAATCAGACCCCGACCTTGTCACGAATCCCCCCCAACCTCTGAGGCACCATTTTACAGATGGGGAAACTGAGGCTCAGGGACGTAGAGCCTCTTGCTGACGGTCACAAGGTGACAGGCCACAGAGCAGGGGTTCGAATTCAGGGTTTTCCGACCCCGAGGTCTGTGCCCTTGATCCCCTGCCTCCGTTCTCTGCAAGGGGAAACGCGGAGGCACGGGGTCTGAGCAGATAGGACAGGAGGGTGCCCCCCTGGCAGTCTCTGCACTGATTTGTCCCCGGAGCTGCTTAAGCTTAAAGGGGACTCTCCTGCGAGCTCAGGGCCTCTGACCTCATAAAGTAACCCTAAGTCTCCCCACACCCACATTGGCTCTGGGGGCCAGGAAGGTGGTTGCGAACCCATTTTACAGATGAGGACACCAAGGCTGGCAGGGAAGAATGCCTAACGTCAGCCTGCACAGAGCTCTCTGGACACTGGAGCAGGAGCCTGGGTCTTCTCCCACCTTGCTGTGTGCCCCTGGGTGAGTCACTGCCCCTCTCTGGACCTCAGTTTCCCCATCTGTAAACTAGAGATAAGGGTGTTACTCATGAGCCTCAGGGTTGGAAGGAGAAGGAGACATTATGAGAAGCATTCAGCCCCTGGCACTTGGTGCCTGGCACTTGGGAAGGGGACACAGGAATGTGACCCAGTGTGAGTCATTACTGAGAATGGCCCAGCCGCAGTCCCTGCACAGGGCTCGACCCAGAGGGGGTCCAGTGGCTTCCTCCGGATCCTCTAACCCTGGTGGGCAAGCTGAGATCCAAGCTTAGCCCTTCTGGAAAAGTCTATCCAAGCCCCCATGCCAGACTTCGCCAGCCCCACGTCAGCCTTGTGTCTGTGTCCCCCGCAGGAGCCATCAGGCGGGACTGATGTCGTGATGGCTGGTTGGCTGAATGATGCTAGCCGCTGACTGGGAGGGCGCCTGGCCTGGGGCCCACAGAGCGAGCTCCGGACCACACCGCTGGGTCTGAATCCCAACCCTGCCACTTACCAGCTATATGGCCAATGTCTCACCCTCTCTGGACCTCAGTTTCCCCATCTGTTAAACGGGGACGAGACCGGGACCTAACCCAGAGTTACCCTGAGGACTCCACAAGAAAGTGTGCTTACTGCTAACGTCATCATTATTTTTTATTACTGTCATTCGTGACAGCAGCCTCAGCACTTAGGGCGGGCGTGGCTCGGTAAATCTCTTCGATGAACAAATGAACAAGTTGTCCCACCGGCTCCAACAGTGTCCACAGAGAGGCAGGCGGGGACACCGGTCCGCGTCTCTCTCTGGGAACAAGTCTCTCTCCTTGACCCCCCCCCCCCCCC